ACTAGGATATATAGATATACTACTTCTAGGTTTATTACATACTACGTTTAGAAACACATACAGGTAACATTAAAAACACAAGATATATAGATATACTACTTCTAGGTTTATTACATACTACGTTTCAAAACACATACAGGTATCATTAAAAACACAAGATATATAGATATACTACTTCTAGGTTTATTACATACTACGTTTCAAAACACATACAGTTAACATTAAAAACACAAGATATATAGATATACTACTTCTAGGTTTATTACATACTACGTATAGAAACACATACAGGTAACATTAAAAACACAAGATATATAGATATACTACTTCTAGGTTTATTACATACTACGTTTCAAAACACATACAGTTAACATTAAAAACACAAGTTATATAGATATACTACTTCTAGGTTTATTACATACTACATTTAGTAACACATACAGGTAACATTAAAAACACAAGATATATAGATATACTACCTCTAGGTTTATTACATACTACGTTTAGTAACACATACAGTTAACATTAAAAACACAAGATATATAGATATACTACTTCTAGGTTTATTACATACTACGTTTCGAAACACATACAGTTAACATTAAAAACACAAGATATATAGATATACTACTTCTAGGTTTATTACATACTACGTTTCAGAACACATACAGTTAACATTAAAAACACAAGATATATAGATATACTACTTCTAGGTTTATTACATACTACGTTTAGTAACACATACAGTTAACATTAAAAACACAAGATATATAGATATACTACCTCTAGTTTTATTACATACTACGTTTCAAAACACATACAGTTAACATTAAAAACACAATATATATAGATATACTACTTCTAGGTTTATTACATACTACGTTTAGTAACACATACAGTTAACATTAAAAACACAAGATATATAGATATACTACTTCTAGGTTTATTACATACTACGTTTAGTAACACATACAGTTAACATTAAAAACACAAGATATATAGATATACTACCTCTAGTTTTATTACATACTACGTTTCAGAACACATACAGGTAATGTTAATAACACAAGATATATAGATATACTACTTCTAGGTTTATTACATACTACGTTTAGTAACACATACAGGTAATATTATCAAGTAAAACTTTTTTTTTACCGTAGTATATCCATATATCTTAGTGTTTTATTTCATAATATTACATTACCTTTACGATGACTGTAAATTAGTGTTGGGCATCACCGTAATTATCGTTTTGTTGGTATCACGTGACTCTGTCATCATAAAAGTTGTAGGGAGATTATGATGATATGACTGAACTACAAAACATCCATCTTTCTAAATATATGGGTGTTTGGTGGATCCGGGGTATCTAAATTGGATTTAAAAACCCATGCCTTGAGGTGCTGAATATCTTCACTTAAGAGGGCCTAGTTTTTCTGTCTCTACACCAGCTGACAACTTTCAAAATAGTTATCAGAGGCTGAAATATGGGTAGATGTTTCGGTCTAGGTTCAGTGTTTGCTCTGTTTCAGTGAGTTAGCTTACTTTCTTTGTATGCTTAAAGTGGAAAATCCAGTTTCAAAAATTGAACCCCCTTTTCGAAACTAGCTGTCCTGAGAATGAATCAGTTGTAGGTAGCATGAGATAAACTCTCATTGTTGGGCGGCTGCATAGTTGTATTTTTTTGGGGTTAGTGACAGTCCCAGGGGGTGCTCCCCCCCCCAAACCCCCAAGAAAAATGGTTTGTATCCCACTTCATTTCAAATTTTAAAATATCATTTTTATATATTTTTTGTACCAAAATATGTGTTAAAATACACCAAGTCAATTCCATTTTTTTCAAACCTTTTTTGGTGGAGATCCCTCTCTGACACTCCATGGAAAAAGGTGCCTCCACATGAGTCCCATTATATCTATCTGCTCCTTATTAGTATCCCAAGCTTTTTTAACATTTAGCGCATAATATACTTTTATGTTTCTATTTTTCAGGTTTTTAAAATGAGTTTCCACAAGTTACTCTAAAATTATCTTCCTACTGAAATGAAAACATAAAGAAAATTGTCTTACAAGCAGATGAAAACATATTAAAAGGTAATCCTATTGTCATTCAGGGGTAGAGAATTAACTTATTTAATTTCCCAATAGTGTTTGTTGGCTTGTTATCTGGACCTTATTCTTTACTGTATGAAGTTGGGTAATTTGATGAAGATCTATTTGCAAGTCATGGTCATGGAAGTTGATGTCTGACAAAGGCTATTTTCAAATGAACAATAACATGATAATAGATGTTATCTCCCCTTACAAGATGGCTGCATTTCTAACTAAAAATTGACAATTGCTTCACCTTTGCCTTAATAACTCTTTATTACATCTTATATTGCTTAGTTTTAATGGAAGAGTTGTATAATATTCAGTGGAAATCAGAGCGCTAAATATCCTTATTTATGTTAAAATGGTTGGTTTTGAATACGGTGATTCGAACATTTGGTATATCCATTTAGTCCAGTAATACTACTACAAGTAGACTAACTTGATTTAGCAAATGATAGCCTTACTCTATTTGAAACTGTACATTTTATCTTCAAAAGGATATTTAGAGCTCTGATTTCCACTGAATATTATACAACTCTTCAGTTCTAGTAAAACTAAACGATATAAGATGTAGTAAAGAGTTATATAAGGAAACAGTGAAGCAATATATGAATGAATCGGCAATATTAAGTTAGAAATACAACTATCTTGTAAGGGGAGATAACATGTATTATTATGTTATTGTGGTCTGGTGTTAGGTTGGTTATGCGATACACATAAAAATGCTAGAAAACCACTTTAAAATCCCTTTAATTTTTTGGGTTATTTTCTTATTTTTCAGGTTTTAGAAATGAAGAAATCTTCCCCTCTGAAATTGTTGTCCTTCATAATAACAAATTAAATATTGTGTTGGATGTTTTTAAATCCTTCCAAAGTTCAGTTGTTTCATCTAAAAAAATTCTGTGAATTTCAGTTGGTTTTGTTTCCCAATTTACTGTTTCTATATCAAATCTTGTATTTGATTTAAAGTAAACATCTTGGATTTTCCTGATTTACTATTTTTGTACATAATGCGATGCATTTATTAGTTTTCTTTCGGTGATAAATATTACTCAATTGGATTTTTTGACAAAATGGTGATTATAAGATCTGTATTTTCGTTGAAAAGGATTGTAATTCTGTTAACCCTGATGACCATTCTGTTGTACTCTATCGCGAAGTTACGCAACAACATTCCGATTCAATGGAAAGACCAAAAAATTCAAGATATTCTGAAGATTTTAATTTATTGGCAACGTTTTCCATTGAACGATATTCCAATCAGACCTATCAATTCATCACATAGTTTATCCTATACTCAGCTTTCTGATTGGCAGATGAAGAGTGTTGGACATTATAGAAATTTTTACTCGTTTAAAATAGAAAACGCAGAGAGTAACATGAACTTTGATCAAATTTCAGAAATGGAAGTTTTTCTGAACTTTCAACCGCTGATGTCCAACAACGAACGAAATATACTGCTGTACACTTTTTATATTTTTCAACAAATCTGCAAAAAACATGGATTTGAATATTTCGCTATTGAAGGCACATTATTGGGTGTGTATCGTCACATGGGTATTATCCCGTGGGATGACGACATGGACGTGATCATGGATGCCTCCAAATGGACGGAGATCCGGGATGCATTATCCGGAAACGAGGAATTGAGTCTTCATACTGATTCACATTACCAATGGAAAATATTTCTCAAATCAGCGTATCAACCGAAAAATTCAGAATTTAAATGGCCATTTATTGATATTTTTTTCTACAAGCACGACAAGACTCATATTATTGGTCTCACTCCAGCTTTAAAGCTAAATTTTATTTATGAAACAACGGACATCTTTCCTCTTATATCAAAACCATTTGAAAATTCAGAAATCTACGTACCAAAGAAGATAGATAAAATAGTCCCTGAGTTGTATGGAGTGACAATGTGCCAAACCAACAGTTATATCCATAAACAGGGTTTAGACGTTCCAAACAAATACATAAAAAGTATTCCGTGTTCATATTTATACAATTTATATCCTTTTGTTTTCCGTTCTGTGGACTCAGTCAATGGAAAAACTGTTGAAGAATTGAAACTAGACTCTAAAATTATCACTGATATCAGGTATGATTAAAAACTGTTGAAGAATTGAAACTAGACTCTAAAATTATCACTGATATTAGGTATGATTAAAAACAGTTGAAGAATTTAAACTAGACTCTAAAATTATCACTGATATTAGGTATGATTAAAAACTGTTGAAGAATTGAAACTAGACTCTAAAATTATCACTGATATTAGGTATGATTAAAAACTGTTGAAGAATTGAAACTAGACTCTAAAATTATCACTGATATTAGGTATGATTAAAAACTGTTGAAGAATTTAAACTAGACTCTAAAATTATCACTGATATTAGGTAAGATTAAAAACTGTTGAAGAATTGAAATTAGGCTCTAAAATTATTACTGATATTAGGTATGACTCAAAGTATGATTAATACCAAACCGAAAATTGCACATTGAAAAATCGTTTGCTTTTGATATATTCATAGGAGAGAATGGTGAGGAAGGCTCTATAATTTATCTGACATTAGGAATGATTGAAAATAAACCAAACATTACAATGAAAAAACCTTGCTTACTCTATATTGGAGAGTAGGGCAAGAAGTCATTATTATGGGTATGTGTCCTCCCTATTCCATTGATTTATTTTAAGATTATTACAGCTTACTATTTATAGCATATTATGGACTACTGTTGTATCCTAACACACCTCGGCCTGTGCTTTCGTTATTTTAATTACTGTTTATAAGACATATAGAAATAAGAGTAGGAGTAGATATATGGATATACTATTTCTGACATTTATTAACTCAATGTTTCACATGATATAGCCAGCGTTATCAAGATTACACTGCCTGTATGAGCATGTGAAACATTGAGTTCATAAATGTCAGAAATAGTATATCCATATATATTGTGCTTCTTTACTTCAATTATATGTTGTTGTTACAACCTCTCTTACTTAATATTGAAAAAGTGTCTAGTCGTTTGGATTGGACAATAAACTAAAGCCCTGTGTACTACAGACTGCACATTAAAGATTCCTTGACAGTTGGGAACCAAAAAAGTTTATGCCAATACCACTTTCTTGATAAAAAATACCCATTGCAAACTGCATGGTGTTGTCTGTCTTTCGTTGCCAAAGAGCTACAGAAAATGAAGATGTAAAACAATCTGTCTATCTGTTACAATAATGCACACACTACAATATTTCTACAATCTAGTCTACTAGTTTTTTTTAAGTTATAAATGTTATTTTTGAATCGATCAATGCTTATATTTGTATTTGATTTAATCATAGATTTTTTAAAAATTTGTCGTGCAATTTCAATATAGAATATTAGATTTAGATGTAAAAATTAACAAAAGTGAAATTAGGTACTTATTATCATTTATATTTTGCAGTTTCGTAAGATACGATTCACAACTACAATGCAGATGAGGCAAATCTCTCATGTCAAATTTGACAAAAAATAAATTTTGTTTAAAAAATGAAATATAAAATCTGCTAAATAAATTGTTTATTTGACGTCTAGGGTAAAGATAGTTACTGTTTGAAGTCTACTGGAGGCATTGCGATGATAGACATAACTGTCTTGAAAGACAACAGGAATTTTGCCTCATATAAAAAAAGACCTGGGCCTTATTCTCAATAACTTTACAAAGATAAAATCCAGATTTTAAGAAATACAGTAATCTGATTGGATAATAAAACAGATTTTAAAATCAATTTTAGTGACTGACTAATCAGATGACTGGAACACTAAAATCATCAAGTTTAGTTTTTCAGAATAAGGTTCCTGTTTTTTCTCGTGTTCATATGGAATTACATGTATAAGTCAGTGCCAATCTTTTATTAATATTTAAGAAATGTGTCAAATTAGCTTGTTTTAAGAGAAATAACCTAATTCAGTGTTTATTCTAGTTCATGTTAAACGTGTAACTATTGTGTTTATTTAATTCTAGCTAGTCACCAAAACAATTGACAACTTACTAACTAAGTCACATTTTGCCCTTTTTAGTTGTAACATATCTAGTGTAGTCAATTTTAACATGTGATCATTTTTTAAGTGAGTATTGAGTTGATATGAATTTTGAGTTAATGTTGGATTTGAGTCGAAGTGAGTTTTGAGTTAAAGTGGGTGTTGAGTTGGAGTGAGTTTTGAGTTAAAGTGGGTGTTGAGTTGGGGTGAGTTTTGCGTTGGAGTGAGTATTGAGTTGAAGTGAGTGTTGAGTTGCCAAAAGTTTTTGTTGAAGTGAGTTTTGAGCTAGAGTAAGGTTAGTTTCATACTTTTAAAATAATAATAATATAATGAAATTTTTGTAAGAAAATAAGAAGTTTAAACTAAAGATGATATAAGATAATATCTTGTGTTCTTTAATAATATAATTGTTTCATATTTACCATGTTCTTCCACTTACTTACATTTTTTCTTGTATAATATATATTAACATTGTGTTAATATTGCATTATAGCTATCATATGTATGCCATGGCCCGTGCTTCTGTAACTTGTTGTGGTATAGGTTATTATTTGATGTTATATGTACATAGTAGGGTAGTATTCATCTATTTACATAATATTAAATTTTATTTATATAATACTATAAAGGTGTGGATACATGAGCGATTGTGGTCTGAGACTTTTGTCGCCGATTAGAGTCTCAACGATTGGCATGGGAACACAAGGAGACAAAAATCTCCAGTCGGTGTTTGTTTTCCACCATGACAATAATCATGCAGAGCATTAAATTGAAAGGAAAAGGAATCTGATTGGACGATGACGGTCTGTCTTGCAGAGACAATTATTAAACTTGTTTGATATTATAAATACTGCAGTGACACGATAATCTTGTCGTGGAACCTTGAGTACATTGCGAGATTTTACTCAAGATTCAAGTCGGTGAAAAAAATCTCTGAACAAGAACGCTCGTGTGCCCGCACCTTAAAAGCAGAGTTACAACTGAATGGATTGGTTTTAATAAATTGAATGGTTAAAGCTAATGAAATTTAAATAAAAAAAGAAAAGTTACAATTTTCATGTTATTTTGAAACTTTTACACCTATATTCTCATCTTAATTTTATTATTAGTATTATTATTTACAATAAAATGAAATAGACCTGTGATTATTGGTATTATAAATTATATACAGCATTATTTCAGGTTTAGTTTAGATTCAAAATATAACTCACCTCAAATATGAGCATTTTATTTAATTTTCTATGTTGTTTTATGTAGTAATAATAACGATATAAATCTAATTTATAGAGAGATCAAATTGCTACCTATTCTACCTTTAATCAAAATAGAAACCTAACAAAAGTATATAGTCGATTGGATCAGACATCAAGGCCCTGTCTTCGAAAGGCTACGCACGTTAAAAGACCCTCGACAGTTTGGAAATCAAAAAAGAGTAGTCTAATGCCGTTGTCCTGGCAAAATTGCCCTCATTGTACACTGCATGGCATTGCCCGTCTTCATTAGCTTAATCAGGTGCACAAAAGAAGGATGTAAAACTCCATTCATTTCATTTTATTTTCTAAGCTACCTTGATTTGTATGAATATCCTGCTTGACTATACATACATGTTAGTATTTTATTTGTGGGGTATAAACTAGACTGGGATAAAGGGATCTAATCATCTAATTATAAGATCAAAACTTTATTTAATTTAATTGAAATATTTCTATCATTGATATATATATATAGATATAGAAATATGTAAGAAGTAAGAAGACACCTTTTAAGAGTGACTCAAGTATTTTATTCTACAAGTTTTCGTTGTCATGGAGATGACTTCATCAGGTCAAATGATTAAAAAAATATTCTTTTTGTATATTATTCTCTACCAAAGGTCACTGTGGACAATTCTTAAAGAAATTGTAAAGAGGTTTTCTAACTTTATGTGTATCAGGGACACTGATAGCATCAATTTACACCATTCTAATTTTCAATCAGATGTCTGTGGTTCTTGTTAAAGAGATTGTAAAGAGGTTTTCTAACTTTATGTGTATCAGGGACACTGATAGCATCAATTTACACCATTCTAATTTTCAATCAGATGTCTGTGGTTCTTGTTAAAGAAATTGTAAAGAGGTTTTCTATACTTTTTATGTATATTGGGAACACTGATAGCATCAATTTACACCATTCTAATTTTCAATCAGATGTCTGTGGTTCTTGTTAAAGAAATTGTAAAGAGGTTTTCTATACTTTTTATGTATATTGGGAACACGGATAGCATCAATTTACATCATTCTAACTTTCAATCAGATGTCTGTGGTTCTTGTTCAAGAGATTGTAAAGAGGTTTTCTATACTTTTTATGTATATTGGGAACACTGATAGCATCAATTTACACCATTCTAATTTTCAGTCAGAGCAAAATAGTCTGTATCACATAAGGACTTCGCAGTTAGTGATGTCATAAATCGCACAGTTTTAGTAGAATTGCAATAACCATAGACGTCTGATTGAAAATGGGAATGATGTAAATGGATATTATCAGTGTCTCCAGTACACATAAAATCTTAGTTTAAAACCTCTTTATAATCCCTTAAAAATTTATGTGGATAGTTTGCCTAAAAAATATTTAGACTACACCTGTGTAATGCTTTTGCTAATCAAAGCTTTTTAGAGAGTCAAATTTTGTCTTCCTGCTTCACATTTGTTATTTTTATTTTCTATGTTGTTTTTTGATTAAATAAAACTTGAATTAAGCTATCATCACTGTGTTTTGGGCCCCTCCCCCTGGGAAATGTTTTTTAACATGTTATCCTCTCCTGTATTCTGATACCCCTCTGCAAGTCAATGTTAATATTTGTTTTCTTTGAGCAGTGGCTGACTTATGGGTGGGGGCCCTTGGAACTGTTCCAACCAGTCAATAATACCTTGAAATTATTCCTTCTGTCAAATAAAGTATTATTATTATTTTTATTATACCCATGTGGGACAGGACATGAGAGGGGGGGGGGGGATTATCATGGTATGCAATGTTTCAATGAATCATCAAAGACTTAAAATAAGATAGTAGCGGAAGGTGGAAGGGCCTCAGTTTTCGGCTGCCTCTAACTATACAATGGAAACATCTGCCTCTATTCCAGCCACGGATAGACATTTTGACATTTATTGGCTACACCTGCTGACAACTTTCAAAATAGCTATCAGAGGAATAGAGGCAGATGTTTCGGACTATCTGACTTTGAGGACCACCACTGATGGTATGGACACATTTATAACATTTCAATTCCTGCATCATCTATGATATTGGTGTTTGTTCTCACACCAGGGTTTCAACACCAGATTAAAATAAGTTACCGATAAGCTGAAAGAGGATGGAAGCTTCAATTCTTTAAGAGTTGTAGTGGTCTGAATACTTAATTCATCAGCTGATAGAGCTCAATATCAACCATCTACACAGTCATCTCAATATTTACTTTACCAGCTGATATAGCTCAATATCAACCAACTACACAGTCGTCTCAATATTTGCTTCACCAGCTAATAGAGCTTAATTTTAGCTGTCTGAATGTATGACCTACTGGCCGAGAGAGCTCAATTTCAGCCATCTGTAAATTTTGAAATATTTACTTTACCAGCCGATAGAGCTCAATTTCAACTATCTGTATAAACATATGAATGTATGATCTACCAGCTGATGGAGCTCAATTTCAGCTATCTGTATAAACATCTTAATATTTACTTTACCAGCCGATAGAGCTCAATTTCAACTATCTGTATAAACGTATGAATGTATGATCTACCAGCTGATGGAGCTCAATTTCAGCTATCTGTATAAACATCTTAATATTTACTTTACCAGCTGATAGAACTCAATTTCAGCTATCTGTATAAACATCTTAATATTTACTTTACCAGCAGATAGAGCTCAATTTCAGCTATCTGTAGAGTCATCTAAAAATTTGCTTTACCAGCCGATAGAGCTCAATTTCAACTATCTGTATAGTCATCTAAATATTCACTTTACCCGCTGATAGAACTCAATTTCAGCTATCTGTATAAACGTATGAATGTATAATCTACCGGCTGATAGAGCTCAATTTCAGCTATCTGTATAGTCATCTTAATATTTACTTTACCAGCAGATAGAGCTCAGTTTCAGCTATCTGTATAGTCATCAGAATATTTACTTTACCAGCTGATAGGGCTCAGTTTCAGCTATCTGTATAGTCATCTAAATCTTTACTTAACCAGCTGATAGAGCTCAGTGTCAGCTATCTGTATAGTTGTCTAAAAATTTACTTCACCAACTGATAGAACTCAATTTCGGCTGTCTATATAGTCATCTTAATATTTACTTAACCAGCTGATAGAACTCAATTTCAGCTATCTGTATAGTCATCTAAATATTTACTTAACCAACTGATAGAACTCAATTTCAGCTATCTGTAGAGTCATCTAAATATTTACTTTACCAGCTG